ACAAGTTGTCTCTGTCTGTCTGGATTCAACATAGAACTTGGCACCGAAGTGCACCAGTTCGAGTTGCCACCTTCCAAATAGCACACAGAGGTAGACAAGAAGATGAGTGAAGAGAATCAATACAGTCTGACAAGTATAAGAGTGAAACAGAATGGGTAGTGGTAGAAAGGAATATGAAAGATTACAGAGACTGAATACATCTGAGCTGGCCATTGACAACGATTTTGAGCCATGTCACCTATTGTCTCCAGCCATTGGAAGAAGAAGCAGTCGGCGAAGAGAGGATTTCAAGTGAACATAGAGAAGATGATGGTAATGAAGAAAATTAAAAACAAACAAATTTGAAAGAGGTTATCTCATTCACTTATCACACCAGGCACCATCGTTTCAACTACAGTTGGAAGGGGAAGGCAAACCTTTATCACTGTGAGATCAGTGGGGATTTCTGATTCACTCAGCGCTAAGGAAAAAATTCTGATTTTCAACGCCAACATTAAGTCAGTCAGTGAGTCAGTCACTTCTTCCATATGGGTCAGAAACAAAGCCTATGCGTCACGGCGGCATTCTGAACAGGCAATTGCAGACTTTTAATCAACACCTGCCTCGATACTGAAGGTCAGATGATCAGCCAGAAAAAAAAGGTCGGGGGACAAACCAATCAAGAACCTATCGGTCAAAAAATATTTTGAAGAAAATGGAGATGTATCGGACATACAATGAGGAGATCATCGGATGAAATGGCTGACTAGACCATGGCTCGAGTGGAAACCAAGGGGAAAGAGTGATGTTGGACATGTGTCCGTGGATGAAATGGAGGCAGCTAAAGAGGACAACCTTCCCTATATTCCAGCTGGAACCCAATGGAATAATAATAAATAATGGTGTATCAAAGTAGATGCCAAGGATGTTTATCAAGGGTATGAACCAACTGGCAAAGTAATAGTAATATATGATATCATTACTAAACCATTTTCATTACTTCTTTAATTCTGTTAAACTAGCTTACACTTAAGGTTACATACCAAATTTTCTTCTGGATTACTTATTTTACGCTGGTAGATGTGGCTTAGTTCATACACAGGATGGCACACGAAAACAGAAAGGCTTGTGAAATTTTTATTCCTTTTTCTTCTATATTATGATCGGCATTTTATTTTCTAGATTTTAGTGTTTTCTTGTTTATGACTGACCGTGGAGTTATCTATGCAGTTAATTTAGCTTTTTGTTTCTCAGTGGAGCTTACTTAATACCCGGTCAGTACCCTTGGATTATGTAAACATTCTTTTGGAGTCCCTTCATACTAGTTGTCATTAGTATTAGATAAGTTATGCGTTATACTAGTGTAGTAGCAAGCTAGCAGTGGACCTATCCCATTCTAACATTTTTCTATATTGTACAGCTGCATGTCATGTTGTGTGTGTCGACAATGTTGTCTTGTTTTACTCTCGTATGTGTGATTTTGAAGGCAATATCTTCATACCACCTTGGTACGTCGTTAATGGGTAGAACCGTGTTTTATTTGTAGTCACAACAGATCCAGGAACACTAGGATCAGGGCATTGATGGAATAATTTCTTAGTGACCTTAGTATTAGTAATTTCCTTCAAACATCAAACAGTAACTTAAAATTTTTTAAATTATGCCTCCAAAATACACGAGTTTGGTAAAGAATCTCACTTCAGTCTCGTTTCATAAACGTAATCACAGTTCAACCGGTTAGCTCTTACAGAATGTATGTTGGGACCTAATATACGCTCCAAGTGTATTATCAATCAAATAAACTCATTATTATTTCCTTAGTTTCCAAGTGGAGCATAGGGTTTCAACAGCACGTCTCTACTTCATCCTGTTTTATCCCGTCATCTTTAGCGTCCGGCGTGTGGAGCTGAGTACATTGGCGTCCGCTTGTAAAGCACGCTATGGAACACTATCCAGCATGGTTAGCAAAACGAGAACGCAAGCGTGTGTATATAGTTAGGCGACAGAACATCTGGTGAATTCAGGATATTTTAGCCCCCGTCATATACAAGATCCTATCGAATCTATAAAAGGGAGTGAAATCAAGGCATTTAGGAATAGCTGAGGCATTAGCTATCCAAAAACTTAAGTCCAAGCTATTTGTTCCCAAGAAATACGTCTAACCGTTGTCCCTAACGTGGTAGTTGTGAAAAATCAGTCCAATCAATAATTATTATCCTACTACCTTTCTCATTCAACCTTCCTGTTTATTTTTTTATTTTTGCCTTTTTATTTCCAATCTGCATAACTAGATTTGGCTGCTGCTTTTTGTTTTTTAAATGTCCGAACTTCCTACCTACTTTGTCATTACTACGTCTTTAACCCTTTCAGTAATTATGATCTTATTATGTTTTTTCTACCCGACCTTCCTGATTATTACACTTTCAAATTTGACTAATTTGACCTTGAACCTGAAATGATTTTAAAACTTTCTCACAAATTTACTGTAAATATTTTTACGAGTTGATCACGGATTCATATCAGTTAGAGAACCATTGAAAACCAGGGAGTACTGGACAGCTGCTGTTTCATCCTAGTTTGAGAATCATCGGCAGTACGCACCCACTGGGATTCGAATTAGGGCCTTCCGATTACAAGACGAGCTCGCATACCATTCAGCCACTGGGACCCAATCCGATTCAATGGCTAACCCATGAATTCTAACTTTTACCAATTCGTGATTTAGCGCGACCCCAACCATTGTCGTTGGTGGGAAATCCATCCTCACACGTGACATCTGGATAAACCATAAACATCTGGTTATCCAATGTTTGTTTCCAACAAATCCCATACAAACATTGGATAACCACATCCAAAGGACCTTAAACAAGCTCACCAAAACTGGACACATCACAAAACAAGACCAATGGCGAATGAAATCCAATGGACCAGTCCTACCCCGATTCTACGGCAGACCCAAAATACACAAGGCAAATATCCCGTTACGACCAATTGTATCACTCCCAGGAACTCCAACAAATAATTTATCCAAAGAATTATACAGAAAACTAAAACACCTAACGGAATCTTGCGATCACTCCATCAATTCTGCTATCCAATTCCTAGAGAAAATCAGAGGCATCCAAATAGATGAACAAGAAATAATGGTATCATTCGACGTGACAGCATTATATACCTCCATCGGACAAAAACTAGCAAAAGAAACCATGGAGCAATTACTTAGCAACGACGAACAACTTCCACAACAATCAAAAATGCAACACACAAGCTGGATGGAATGCATAAATCTATGCCTAACAACATACTTCCAATTCAACAGCCAAATATATGAACAAGTCAAAGGAACACCCATGGGATCGCCAATATCAGGTTTGATTGCAAAAGCAGTGATGCAAAAACTCGAAAACATAATTTTACCAAAGATCAAACCCAAGATTTGGATACGCTACGTCGACGACACATTTGTAATAATAAAAAAAACGAATTAGATAAAACTCACAACTTAATAAACAACGTCTTCAACGACATCAAATTCACAAGAGAAGAGGAATCCGAGAACAAAATACCATTTTTGGACGTCTTAGTCAGGCGAACAACTACAGGAGAATTAGAAACTCAAGTTTATAGGAAATCAACTCACACAGACCAAATACTGAATTACAACAGCAACAACCCAATAACACACAAAAGGAATTGCATACAAACACTATTCAAGAGAACAAGGACTCACTGCAGCACTCCCACCTTAAGGAAAATTGAAGAAAAGTATCTCATGAACGTCTTCCAAAAGAATGGATATCCACGGAATTTCATCAAGAGACATATACCCCCAAGCCAACCTACCAAAGCAAAAGCCACCAAGGAAAGCACAAAGAAAATCGCCTTACCATATATAAAGGATATCTCAGAAATCACTATAAGACTCTTCAAACCTTTAGGAATTGACGTCGTACACAAACCAACAAAGTCGCTGCACTCAATTCTATGTCAACCAAAAGACTCAACAGCGAAAGAAGACAAAACCAACATCATCTACAAAATAAACTGTAACAACTGCGAAAAACACTACATTGGCCAAAGTGGACATCCCCTTCGTCTTCGTATCCACGAACATAAGCTAGCCGTCAAAAGACATGATATCCACTCCCTCATTTCACTACACACAGACAACTACGGACATCAATTCGACTGGGACAACGTTCAAATATTAGACAAAGGAAATAACAAGAATGCTAGAGAATTTTTAGAAGCTTGGCATTCCAGTGAATCATCAATCAATAGACACATCGAGATAGACAAAATTTATCAACCAATAAGAAAGAAATTTCACACACAAAGGGTCAACGTTCAAGTCACAGAAACAATCAGTTCCAACACAAGTAACCTAGAAGGTGTGAAAACATACATAAACAACCAATCACGTCCAAGGTCACCAGGAGGAATGATTAATAAACTCGTGGAGAAACCTAAAAGCTCACTTCAATTTGAAGTATGCGCTGAAGATGTCACCCAGTAAGGTGATGAAAGCTTCGCAAACTAACCATCCAGCTCAGAAAACAAAACCACATCAATATATATATATATATATATATATATTGCAGAGTTCATAAGGTCCTCATGTTCTGGTGCCTAACAAATTCCTCATAGCCTGTTTCATATTCTGCTTCCGAAGAAGAAAAGTGACTTTTAAAAAATGTCATTGCTGTCACTTCACGTGAATAAGCTTTGATTAACTATGCTACAAACCTAATTTTTTGAGTACCCTACTCTCTAGGGTTGAATAAGGACTTCCCTATATCTTCAGTATAGGATGAAATATCTTTCTGACAGTCTGTATATAGCTTAGGAAAATTGGTTAACAAGTGTCATTTTTGAGGGTGAATTGTTACCAAATCAAGCTTAATCACACACACACACACATGAAACCTGAATCAGCATTACCAACATACGTATAAAATCCAGCAATTAGAATAATCACCTACCTTGAAGGAGTCAAAGTCTATAATAGAAAAGCATTAATATCAATAAAAAATGTCCAAATTTTTTTTTATTTTATCACAGAAATGCTTTACAGAAATTTCCGTGGAATGCAAAATAATCGAACACAAACACGTACATAGAAAAACCAATCTATGCCATTTAAAATTGGATAAAATCTTACTGAACAGTACACAATCTAAAGTATATATATATATATACTCTAAAAATGGCTATAATTGTATGGAATTTAAAAAACACTTGTATGATCATCGCGAAAAAGAATAAGTTATGAGAAAGCAAACTGAAGTGAATATTTAGAAAGTGAAGCAATTTGTTCAATGATATGTTATAGTACTAATATGAAGGAAAAATCACTTATTATATATATGTATATGCATGTTAGGGGGAGGGTTATGAAGTCATTACCATTTCTATGCTCTTTACTGTTTAATTCATTTGAAACAGTTAAATAAGAAATAAAATAAATTGATCAGATTTCCGGGAACTAAAAGAAATGTTATGTAAAATAGACTGCCGAGTATCAAAAACATACAAATATCTAAAATAAAATGTAAGGAAAATTTGCTAACTCTAATCTAATACGCATGATATAATACAAGGCTGATACTCTTAAACGTCTTCACATATTTTTTAAAATTCCTTTATGTTCCCAATGGAACATAGGATTCAAGCTATAGGCTTGAAGTTTTGCTAGCAGTGGTGTTTGTTTTTTTACGAGATAGGGTTGCTAGCCAGCCTCATGCCTAACCTTCCCTTTTTATCAGTCTTATTACTGGCTTAGTGAGGTAAAGGAGTGCATCGGTGGCCAGGAATTGAACCCCGAACCACATGAGGTGTAGTTGATGAGCATTCTACCGCTGTGCCACCGATTCATCTTCACAAAAATGTATGTAAGGTGGAAAGCATAAAATTATTTAGACTAATGAACAGTCTGCATAAATCAAGGCAATACACAATTCACCTAAAATTATGATTATGTAAATTTTCAGACAAAAAAGATGATTAATAATCCAATTAATAAATATAACAGAAAGACTTCAAGTCTATGAGCATTTACATTATCAAATCTACTGATACTAGACATTTCATTGGTACTCTCGTCACTATTTCCAATTTACTATTCTTTGAAGTCTGGCTACTAAAACTCACTGAAGCTGAAAATTTTCAAATAATCAAATTAATACTTTTTATCTAAATTTATTCTCTACAAGCAGTGGAATATTATTAAAAAGTGTCCTTACTGACAGTCGAGTTGACTTCGACAAAATAAATGTATTACTCCGTCTCGCTTTGCAAATTTCTTCATCGACATAGAAGTGAGCTCTTGTAAATAAAGAAGACAATTACAGTGAAGAAAATTTTCTTTCCGACGAAGTCATCATCTAGGCTGTACATTCGTGTATTTATATCAAATGGATGGGGAAGTTCCAGAATAATTTCCGGTTAAGGGTCAAATTAATAAAAATTACAATTAGGAATTAGAATGCCGTAATAAACAGGGGGACGGATAAGACTCAAACAAAGTAGCATCATAATAACTGAGAAGATTGACATTGTGCAATTGGGGGTTAGAAATGTAGAAATAACAAAATAGACGGGATGTTTGGATAAAAACTAATGTGATGAATAATTGTTCATGCAATCAGGGATTAAATATGTAGAAATAGTAAAATGACAAAATAAAAACGAAGTTCGGGTATGAAAATATGGTAGTGTAAACAGGGATTAAGAAAAACTTAAAATAACATGAATAAACAGGAAATTTGGATAAGAAAGGCGATGGGATGGTCACTATTAGAAGAACTACCTGTTTATGATGGCCATGGGAGAGACAGGGGTTGGACGTATTTCTTTTGGATACAAAGCGTGGGTTTGAGTTTTTGGATAGCTAGCGCCTCGGCTATGCCCAGATGTCTTGATTTCACTCCCTTTGATAGGTTTGATTAAATCTTGTATATTACTTTGAAGGATTTTTCGAAAGGCGCTGAATGTCCTGAATTGACCAGATGTTCTGTCACTGAGCTGTATACACGCTTTTGGTCTCCTTTTACTAACGAGCGCGTTTTTCAAATCGGCGCATGGTACGGTCAACGTACTCAGCTCCACAACAGCAGGTAAACTGGTATATGCACGTTGAGGTGGCCCAATGCAACAACTTGTCTTTCGCGTTCTGGCTGAACAGTTTCTTGCAGGAAAACGTCAGTCGTAGGCTCGCGGCGAAGTATGTTTTCCTCAGAGATTTGGAGAGGCGTTTGCGAAGGATTTCTGCTGCAGTATCACCTTTGAATTCTAGACTAAGCAGAAGTATTTTCTTTGGAACGGATTGCACTTGTTCAGAAGTCTTCTTAGATTTGAGTATCTTGTCTATGAACCTGGGCAGAAAACTGTTTTCCATCAGGGTTTTTCGGAGATTACGCAGTTCTTCTTCAATCACTTCTCCGCTGCATATCTTCCGATATTATTATTATGATGCTTCTTTGTTTGAGTTTTACCCTTTCCCCCGATTTATTATGATATTTTAATTCCTAACTGTAATTTTATTAATTTGACCCCTAACCGGAAATTATTCTGGAACTTTCCCATCCATTTGATATAAATACACGAATGTACAGCCTAGATGATGACTTCATCGAGAAGAAAATTTTCTTCGCTACAATTGTCTTCTTAATAACTCTTATAAATTAGTTAAAACTACGGATTCAAGTTGCTAATCACTTCGTAATTTTAAAACTATAAGTTCTCCAGTTTAAATTTATGGTCATCAGTAAGCAGCAGAAAATGATAGTTTCACTGCTCAAGTTAAAGAAGCCTTTTTTCTTATAATACGTTGAAACGGTGAATAGTTTCAGTCTGAAATCTATGACAAATTCTAAACTTTCATTGGGTTTTAAAATACTGGAAAGCAATAAACGTTTTAACTGGAATCACTTCAGTCACTTTCAAAACTAAAAGGCGTTCACTTACAAATTGTGAATGTTGTGGTCATAATTGACGGTTTAGCTAGTTACAAATAGAGAAACTAAGGGATAGAATTTATCCAATGATTACACTGCATTATTGTAATTCATTTCTTGCCTTTTAAGTGGAATAAAAAGGCTTCATCGATGCATCTTTCCTGTATCAGTGTCAACTACTAACGTGGCTTCGCACAAGCCTTCATGTGATGTTTTCCTTGCTGTCCATGACTCTCCTATTCAGGAGCCTGCTGTGTGATGTCATTTAACAGTCTCCTCAGCGTACGTCTAATCCATTTGCTTTTGCACATTTGTTGAGTAACAGGTTCCTGACTCGTACACTATCAGAGTTTTGTGTTGTTTATAACTTCCAACTTGAACTGCCGCACATTTGTGCAAAGTTCTATGTCGAAAACAGACAGACAGATAACTTCCAACCATTTGATATTGCATATCTAGGGAAGGCAGATTTCGGTGAAAGTCTGCACTAACCTGTTGGAAATAGTTTTGATGACATGACAAACATCAGAATCACAAAAAAGCATTGAATTGATCTCGTCTAGTTTACTAACCAGTCGTGACCCTGAAAAAGACGAAACTTTGGACGTCAGGATAGTAACTCCAACCCTTACAACACAACCAAATCTCTAATGAAACTTCAATGTACATTAGAACTACACTTGAATTAATTGTGTTTTCTCAGCTGGTTGATTTAACTGCAAAGCTTTCGTCGTTCTTCTAGACAACAACAGGTTAGGGTACTAAAACCTACGTTGAAAATGTTGTCTAAAAAGACGTCGAAAGCTTCGCAATTGAATCGACCGATTTAAGAAAACACAATCAGTTCAAATCACTCACATGAGCGACAAATTTCCATTATTATTTCAGAACTAAACTTATTCGTCATCGAGGTCTAGACATCTTCTAGATACAAAGAGTGACAAACGACTTCAAAGAAGCTAGCCATCAGATGTGTCTTCTTTTAATGAAGGAAAAAAGTGAACATAGGAACATAGAGTGTACACACCATGTATATGAAATTCAGTTACCTGATATTATTTATAATATATTGGTCAAATAATGCAACTAAACAACTAACTGCATAGATGTATGGCTTAAGAACTTGGTTTAAGTGTGACATAATAAAATTTCCTTTTTTCCGAAATGTTTCGGGATACAGATCAGTGAGAATTTTCGCTGTTCTAAAGTTCAACTTGAAAAGATGTATGCGAACTGTTTGAGTGGATTCATTTTTGTAATTATGACAATTCTTAGTTACAAAACCTCCAGCATTAAACATATGGCAGTAGCGGCACATCATATCAGTGTTACAAGCCTAGTATGGTAGATTTATTTTTGAAGTTAGTGTTTTTACAGCAGAATACAAAAGTAATATTAGAACTGGGAGTTAACAAAGAAACAAAAATAAAAAACGTTATAAGACAAAAATTATGGATTCTGGTGTTATTAACTTCAAGTCCTACAAGCACTTTATTCCACCACTAAACTTCAACACAACAAATACACTCAAAAAATAAGCAAAGATAGTCGTGGTAAACTATTTGGAAAAGTCCCTTCATAACCATAGAATACGAGAGACTTAGTAAAGGAATGTTTATTTAAAATTTGATATCTCTGTTGAGCGAAATTATGTAAAACGTATCCTCAAATCACCATTTGCACAGATCTTCCGTGTTGTGCTGCTCCTAGCCCTCACTTCGCGTTTCTTTGTGCTCCTTTTACGTCTAGCATGTATCTTATCAGCAGCACATGTCAGAGCCGCACATGTTTCAATGCATTCAATTCTCAAGGTACTACATCGATAATGAAAAGTACAGAAGATCTCGAACTGCTGTCATTCATACGGCTGGAAAGCTTCTATTAATCATCACTTGAGTTTAATTTCAGTTTTACTAAACCTTTTCAGGTACTGGCTTCTAAACTTTCTGTAGAGAAACTACCGTTATCAACTGGTTGTTCTTAAATTGTAAATAAAATCACTCTCAAAAAGACAAGCCTTGTAAAAACTGAGTAATTTAATCAGTATTCTAGTGACCCTAAGTCATAAATAGGAATAATTATTCTCACTTTTTAACCATTCATAGGAGACCAAACACTTTTCAATAGATGATATCCAGAAAAGCACCAGCGTTATCATTATCTTTTACACTATTTTTTCGTAAACGAAGGTTGAAAAAGTCGGCATTATAGCATACAGTGGCAGCGGAAACCATGAATGATAATTTTCGAAGTGTAAAAGCTGCTTTGTCCTTTATATCAATATTCATATATATATTCCAATTACGCACTCAGTTCACATTACCAAAGTAAACCAGTTGTTTAAATATATCCTTTGGTATTTACAAGAAAACAGGTTTAACTGTGCACCGATTCTTCTGATTGTCTGTGTATATCCCTTTTTGAAATGAAATCTAGTTTAAAACTGGCAGCTTGTATGTATCTTCATACAATGTTGATAAGATGCTAAGATATTCAACCTAAGTTCTGGTTAGGAAAAGAGAAGGCAAATTCTATCTTTGCATTAGGATGGTTGGACTAACAGTGAATTAAAACATAGTGCTTTTTGTCTCCTCTCAAAGATAAACCTTAAAGTGCCGGTGAAAATCTTGTAATTATAATTTACGAAACTTAAACCCGTCTTGAGAGACTCCAAAAGGTAAGGAATTGACTGAGTTGAAATTAAAACTGAAACTCCGTAGTTGCATGAAAAAATTGGCGAAGGTAAATTAGTGAAACTACGTAGATATTATATACAAACTTTTCACCACCGCTAATTCAATATTTATTATGTTTATGCGTTGTAACAGAGTTTTACGTGGCGATAAGTCCTAGAAATATCTACACTGGAATTTGATGACCATAACTGGTCCACCCCTTAAATTGTTTTAGGTATGTTTGCAAGGTATACCACTTTCAGACATGCGTTAAGTAACTTCTCTAAGATCTCGGTCGTCTACTGGGATCAAACTACGCAAATTACACAGGTTAGAGGACGTTTATATTGTATCATATAAATCATTTACTACATCGGGAATTTTAGAATGGGATTTATCTGTTATTGGATATCAGAGACGTTTTCATAATACTTACCTGGATTCGAGAGACTACTGACAGGAAAGTGCTTATATGCAGATAAAAAATTAAAAGTTTTAGTTAAAATCACTTAGAGGTAGAACGGAAATCGCACATAGACGGTAGATTTTCATAAAGATAATAACGGAGTTATAAATTTAAAATACTTCATTCGATGAGAAATGAACTCATGGGCATAAAAGCTACTAACAACCTTCTAAATAGTATAAACCTTGAAATTTCCCTACTCAAAAATCAAAATTAAGCATCTTCATTAAAAGCAACTGTCATATAACGGCACTATATTCCTCCAAATGATATGTACGTTAAGAAATATGGTAATAAGACGACTATACAATGCGAATAAAGGATACTTATCAGAACTTTTTCGTATGGTTCGCAAACTTCCAGAACGATGCACATTCGATACTCTCTAAAAGTCCCTTGAATTGTATTCAGTAAGCTAATAGGCCCCATTGTGCGCAGTAACCAGAGAAAAATTCAAATACAAGGATTAATTGAATAGTCCAATGAATTTTTTTCCAAAGAATGTATCACTATAAAACGTTAACAATATAAATCTTTTACATGAGCATACTTCATCCAAAAAGATCTTTTTTATCCACTCTTAAATGAATAATATAATCAAGAGTTGTTTGCTTATGTTCCTTGGTGATTTAAACCACTACTTCAATGATTTCTCATGCATCAACAATCTACTTTTAATTTGAGTTCCCTTAGTTTGTCCAGTTGAAGCATAAATTCAACACTGCTTATTGAAGAAATGTTATTTAACTCAAATGAAAATAACGTCGTTAATGCGTTCATCTAGTCCAGTGGGCATTCATCTTAAGTCTTCAGTCTGCTCATTTCTCACTAGTTTCAAAGATCCATCATCAAAGCCGACAAGTTTATGGAAAATCTGCATCATCCACACAACGGCCCTTTAGAGAAGCACATTGCTAATGTCCGACTGATCTTTCATGTAGGGAAAATCTAGAACACAACTCCTAAGCGCCAAAATACATCTTGTAAAAAAATGCAATTAACTCAGCCGATTAAACATTGGCAACATAAAAGGCTAGTTGGCCTTCCTGCGATCATGGTGCATTAGTTTTAATTTCAACTAGTATGCATCCGCCCAAGAATTAACATCATTTCCAGTTTTGTTTGTGCCATGTAATATAAAATGTATATGTCTTGAAATCAGCCTGAACCGACCATATACCATTATTTGATTTTTTCAAAATATCTAATTTTAATACTTATCAGTCTTTAAACATATCTCTTGCAGGAAAATTCTTTTATTATATTATACTTTCATTTTTATTTGCTCTTACCCCAAATTTAGGTAAGAAACTGATTAACTTGTTGCTGATGCACGTTACTTTTTTGGAACTGGTTAGTGTTGCAGAGTAGCAGCACACTTATTTTATATATGTATATATATATATTTACCCGCCACACCTAGACAGGAGCGACCACTAAAACACATAACTCTGACTACGAACACTAAAAGTACGTGAAGAAAGTTTCATTAACCTTCCAAAAACATGTGTCAAGAAAACCATGTACATGCGAAAGGGAATTTGTGAGCCCCACAGCTGTACGGGGGACGTTTCCTCATTGTTGGAGTACTAGTATAACATAAAACCAAAATCCATTATGTGGAATAAGTTAGAACAACAATTCGGTTATCAGTGGTAACATGTGTATCTCTCGAATCCTGTCATTTATGAATGGTGCCCGTGTATTTTGATTTGGAAATCCCGAGAATGCTGGTGTATAAAACCGAATCTCATGTAAATACCTGTGCTGGCATATTGGTATACAAAGGTAGTTCTCTAGTACATGCCAACATCCAATTTTATCTTCAATTGTATATCTGTCAATTTATGGCTGCACAGTGATTAGGACTCTCGCTGACCATGCACATGGTCCGGGGTTCGGCCCTCTGCGACGCACACCTGATATCTATGGCCGGCCTGCAAAATTTGGGCTGCCTATATCACATGCTGAAAATTCCATGCCTGTACCGAAAAATACGGTGTGAAATCAAGCTGAAATAAATAATGTTATCCGACAGAGTGGGACCAACTTAGCTGCAGGATAGGCTGTGGTTAGTGATGTACTCATTCTTTTTTAGCTATTGCTGCAGGGACAGGCTTTCTCCCCCCTGTGACATGTTTGAAATTTGAGCCTTCACATCTTTTATATTCGTTGATGAATCCCTGAGGGTAACAGTTGTTTTTCAACATCGTTTCGAGAATCATAAGTTCTTCCTCTACCATCTCTGTAATGCATATTCTCCTAGCTCTCTTGTTCAGATCCGTTGCTTGCCTTAAGTCTGATTTCTATGGTAGAAAAAACAACACCAATCTTTGAGCAAAGCCATATTTTCATTGAATACGTCATAGTTTCCATGATTAGACCAATATGCTTAGAATTAAGCATTGGGGATGTATAATATTATTTCAAAGAATCTCCACCTCCTTCTTGTATATAACCTGCAAATATACTTCCTATGGCGTACAATCCATAATTGTATTTTATGCCATTTTTTAGTTTCCCAGGATGTTCTTCTCTTCCTGAAATAGCTCTCAATCACGTGGGGGCATAGCACTTACTCAAATATAGGCTCATCACTGGTTGACCAAGAACGGAACGTAAATTTTGTGTTCGCTAAGCCTTTACGGTGACCTTAATGAAGGGTTCACAATTCGACATCTGTTCTAACCTTTTCTGATTGCTTGTGGAACAATCCACAATTTAGGCTTTAGAAAGAGTGCTAAATTATGGTATTTCGCGATAGTAATTTGTAGCATAACTGATTGTGTCTGCGCAAATGGCATGCGTTTCATGTGAACCTACCCGTTTATGTGAAATGTAAATTACTATCAAAGTACAATCTTAGCGAGTTTTGTGTTGTAGGTGTTTTCTCAAAAAATAACTAAAATGTTGGTATCGTCTGTTCCATGTAGGCTGTCGATAAAATGACCTCTGGAGACTACCATTTTTCTTGCGTTGTTTGGCGATGTCAGGGAAACAAAACTTTCCATCTCTCCCGTATCACAGTAAATTTAACATTTGTGTGAGGGTCGTTGAATAATCTATGTAGGTAGGAAGCATGATTCTCATTAGTGTACACTACAAATGGTTAATATACATACCTGCAATAAGAAGTTATTCCGTCGATTGCATTGCTCAACTTTGTTTTCTAAAGGGTTGGATATGAAGGCATCTGTTGAGACAGGGCTAGGTGGTCTGCTCACAGCTACACCAACTGTATGGCCTTAGGACTGTAGTAACTCCGAGGTACATATTAGTGGCAGGCATTTGAATTCCAGCTCTGGAAGTGGGAGATTGTACAAATGTATATTAATGTCAGCTTTTAGTGGTTAATCATGCTTATGAAAAACAGTAGGCTAAGTGATACGTGAGAGTAGATAGCAGTAGTGTGATGAGAGCTGGCTGCTAGCCAAATTGGTAGGCAGTAATTTACGTCAATGTTTGTCCCAAATATCGGTCACGTGAGAACAAGAACAGAGACTGACTCAACAGTCAACAACAGCAGACTTTGCATAGGCGGATACAGCGAACATATAGATGACCTGACGTTCACAAAACAGCTACAAAGAGATGAAATATAAACTTTCAGTGAGAAACCACCAATCAGAATACTGTGTTTCTTTGCTTATAATAATCTATATTAGTGTACATGAAAATCTTTAAATATCTGTTGATGTCATGGAACTTATTCCTAAGTTCCTATTGTTACGAAGACGCTCCGCACCGATAAATACTATGTACTTTCTTCGAGTTAAACTTCAAAATACCAGTATTTTAAGAAAGAAGTTATGTTGTCTGGCAATTAATAATACAAGTCTATAAAGAAATGTTTTATACAAAATAATTATGTACTTTTACTCCTTTTCGCTCCTCTTCGTCGAACTTGTACACAATCGAACCATTCGCGCCTTCGAGTTGCTATCAGTTCCAAAAACAAACGTTCAATGTTAACGTCCATTGACAGTTGATTTTCTTGATAAGTGATCCGTTGCCTTGCCCTTGTCTTCTGTTGTTACCATAGTAGTGTGTACCTTTCAGGAATAAAGTCAGTTTTCAAGTTCAGACATTTATTTTTTGCGCCATCCGAGATCACCCTAAAGTTCCATGCTATTAATATGATGTGTGACAAAACGTCAACATGAAAAGCATATCTTCTGTCTATTCATTTTATGAACAATACCAACGACCCACTGTAAAGGTGATTGACCAGCACAGACCAGAACGAAGTTATAAATTTAAACGTCAGTATGTGACACTATACAGCCAGATAAAACATGTGTATTCGCTAAGGATAATAGCAATACTGCGAGAAATTGTATTTAGTCCATGTCCGTTATGGATATGATACCAATTGATATTAACAAGATAAAAACTCCAATTTATAGGAAGTGTTCACAAAAACACAAAAAGGGATGGTGATTAACAGTTTTCATCAGCGCTTCACTTAAATATTCACCGTTGTTTCTTGGTATTTACTGCAATCATGAAATACAAACAATTCTGCCAAATTAAGGTTCCTGACCTCTTCATACTCTGTGTTGTTTATCGATTTACTGAAATTCCGCCACTGTCAGAGCTGGCGAACACTTCCAGTGCCAGTCTTCAAGCAACGATCTGGAACGGCAAGCACAGTGCACGTTAGCAGGGCAACCATATAAGTGCTGCGTGCTGGTTAGGACCAGGGATCAATGTCAAGGATTATATCCACAACCGATCAGGTTATAACTGAGTGAGGAGATAAGAGTCTTCCTACTGGTCGGCCATCGCGTCGTCTTGAGAGATCAATCTATGCACGCCAAACGGCCGCCTTGAAATCAGACAAACATACTTGTAAGCATAAAAGGGCCGCCTGACTTACTGCGCCTTACACACTGTATAGTTTTTTTGTTTGAACTGGCCTGCATTATGCAGGAGAAAAGAAGGCTATCATCGCCTAGCCGCATACTGACTGATGTAAAATTGGAGAAATACAATCAGAAATATTGTTGCACATTAAATTAACGTTTACTCACAGACTTCTCACTTGGTAACGATTGAAACTCTGTTTTGTTATCAGCATAAAAACAAATGATCACTTTACTCCACTGTTTCCTGTTATTCCGTGTCGGTTACAGTGTCTGGCATCCCGTATGTCGGGCCTAGTCTTCTGAAGAAGGCAGTAGGCTCGAGATTCTTGCGATCTCAATGTTTGAAGTTTACTGAGAAATACAGTAAGCACCGGTTTACACGAAATATAAATTATTATTATAGTTACAAAATTGGTATTAGATATAACGCCGCTATGGAATTAAGCAGTATTGGAAAAAGTTTTGGCAATGGTTCACCAAGAAATCGCTAATTAGTTTGAATGCTTTGAGATGGGCGTATCTAAGAGTGTGCGAGATGGCGAAATTTCAGTTAATTTTATTACTGTGACTGGACTTCATGCATACAGTCTATTGAACAGCCAAATG